AACCTCTGTTGCTCTAACCCCTGTCCCCAGTACCAGACTGTTCTGTGGGCTGGTTCAGTGTGCCAGGCTGACTGAACTGCAGCTTTTTTGCTGGCTCAGTTTCCTGTTAGCTCAGTGAGTTACAGCAGCTCAGGGATCTCATGGTGCTGCCCCGGAGTGGGAGCTCTTTGCAATAATTCCAGAGCACTTTTAGCTCATGGTTTGTCAGCATCCAAATGCATCTTTTCTGTCTGAACTTTGCACCATTAGCACTAAAATCTGCTTTCCTGGAATCCTTCTACCCTCCAGTCATGGATGAAATTCCCTCCTCTGCCTGGAGAGACACTGGCTGCCTGTCTTTACATCTCCCTCTTCTTTCTGCAGGCAAGGATTCCATTTGAGCCAGACCTCTGGGCTGATTTCTCATCCATGCTTTCACAGAGAGCTGGGTTCCTTGCTCTGCTCTTGCTCTTCCAGGTCATTAAAAGGAACCAGATGAACTGACACAACACCTCCAGCAGTACTGCTAATTATTTCTCTTCAGAACAGAAATATTTCTATTTAAACAAGGTACATTACCTTTTTTTTTCTTTTTAAGTCCACAGAGGAAAAAACACTTTTACATAATTATATAAATATCAGGGCAGGTAAGAGAGTTCAGTTAAGCTTACATACAGACTTTTTTTTAAGGATGTATCCAGCTCTATTTGTCTGGGGTTTTTTTTGGAAGCAAAATGGTAATACTCCTCAAGACATTTTGCTTTCCTCACAGAGCCAAAAGAGGGCTTTGCTTTAGTTCTTGTGACACTGAAGTAGTATGGGAGGTTGAAGTGAAGTTACAATCAAGAACATAAAGCAGGTTAAGAACTCGGGCAAAAATTAAAACCAAACAAAACCCAGCCAAACCAGCCCCCACAACCAAGATAAAAGTAGCAGAAAAACTTATTGCTGGATATTGTTCTTGTTAAAAGGAACCTGATCATGTTTAGATTGCTCACTAGAGATTTAACCTGACCACAGGAGAGTTTTATACTGGAAGAGCTCTGGTGGGCTGAGGTGCCATCTCTCACTTAAGTTGTGCCAGCCAAGCATAGCTGGACAACAGCAAGGCTCCAAGAAGTGATTTTTTAGTGGAAAACACAGCTGTGACCACACTTGGCCAGAGTACAGAAACTCAGAAGGTGGGGAAGGTGCCCTGTTGTACATGTTGTCTATACATTCAGCTTAATCCACTTAAACATTAGTCATTACATTTTTTTCCCCCCTAGAAAAGATATATGAACAGCAGGGACATTCATGGAGCTCCTGCATGCCCTCCTCAGTGAACAGGAGACTGACAGTTAATATTTTGTGAGCTTTTCCCTGAAATGACTTGTTTATTTAAGAACTACAATCAGTTACAAAAGCTGAAAACCAGACATTTATCACTGTGAAATAACAGGAAGCCAGCAGGGTGTGCACCCCACCAGTGCATGGCCCCAGGGCAGATCCATACCTGCAGGTGTGAGTACCAGAGCTTGTAGGATGTCAGAAAGGGAGATGATACCCACAATGCTATCAGCTTCATTCACTACCACCAAACGATGAACCTGCCAGCAGGGAAAAGACTCTGAGATATATTTACCCGATTTAAAGTAGACAAAGCAAAGAAAAGCAAACAAAGAAACAAACAAAACCCCTAAAGTAAAGCAGTATGAAGACAAGTAGGAAAAAAACAAGCCAAAATGGTTCAAAATGTCAGGAATAGCAATTCTCTCACAGCAACACAAACATGCTTGCCCTACATAAATGAAAATAGTTTAAAAAGCACACAGCTATCTGACATGGCAACAGCATCTCATATAAAGTGACAGGTAAGTCGAGATCTAGGTCTTGAAAATATTTCTGCTCTCAAAATGTGGCACTCGGATCAAACACTTTTCCCTAAGTTACAGCCTCTGCTCAGCTCAGCCTGGGGTTTCCAAAAAATTAGATATAATAATAAAATGAGGATTTCTTCTGAAAAATACTTCTTAACTTCCTCAGCAGAGAGGGACAACCTTAAAATTTGCTGTATTTTGACATCTCAGTTGGTTTTAACTCAATTTTTCTCACAGGGCTACACAATGGAAAGTGAGTGCCAGACTGGTTTTGAAACAATTTGTTTTAAACAGACTGCTTAAGACAGAAAAAAGGATTCAATTTATCTATGCAAATAAACACAAGGACACAACTTGGAAGAAAGATTTATCAACAGTAAGACCATATGTTCAAATAATGATCTTATCCTTACAAACCTCTTCTAGGGAACATTTCAACATCACAAAACTTTTGTCCTAACTGTAGGGAAATTAGGTGGATACTCCAGTATCCTGAGGCTTACTGGCCAAAGCAAGCTGTGAAAAGCCACTGCAGAATCAGGGAAGTATCTGTCCAAAATTCAGAGTCTACTACATGTTTACTTTTATCCAAGTGAATTATCTTTCTTCACTAACAGGTTTATTAGTTTCTGCATATGCACATATTTAATAATTTTATTCCTCTCTCAATGTAATGAATTCAAGAAAAATGGACAATGTTTCATTTGTTTAATTGCTTGTAAGATCAAGCAGTTGTCTGGCAGCTAAAAATAGCTTTGTAGTAGTTTTGACTGACTCATTTTTACATGTAATCTCACTGTGTTTAGACTGAACGAGAGGGTAGGAGTTGTTCTTAAAACCCAAATGTCTAAGGCTTCTTAAGATAGTAATAAAATAATCCAAGTTTGAAATCTGTGTATCAGGAATGCTAAAATTATTCCTTTCAGGAGAAAGCTCAAGCAAATGCAGGAAGTTATAAGTAGAAGTTGCCTAATGAGATTCTAAGGGCTTGTTTAACAAAGTGGAAGTTTTCCTCATATCAATTATATGCCTGGTTACAAGCCTAAAAAATAAATAAATCTTGTAATTGATGAAGTGAAAGCATCTAAATGGAGCTGATCACACCTGAGAGACGACTGAAACTGGGAATATTGATTTTCTTCTGCAGAGAAGCCTTACAGGGGAGAAGACCTACAAACTCATTCACCTCTGCATGCAAGGAAGTTCCCAGTACTAATAAACAAGATAAACAGCAACAAAAGAATGAACAGGACACAGATAAAAAATTTACAAGTGCAGTTAGTGAAGGCTTCTTCACAAGAATTCACTTTATGGCCCTGTTTCACTGCATTTCTATGAGAGTAGTGCAAAATTCCATCGTGCATCAAAACGAGTCACACACAATAAATTTCCTGAGCCAAGCTATAAACTGGAGTTTAATAAATGATTTGTTTGCAAAACTTATGACAGGCTTGGAGAAACTTGGGAAAGCTTTGCATTCAGTTTAGTTAATGTCATAAACCAGAAATGAAAATAACTGAATATTATTACAAGTATACTGTAAAATATTTGCACATCCTTATATAAGCATCCAAAACCTGATCCATAGAGCAGACTGAGACCTAACACATACAATTATTAAAAAATACTTCCACCAAGTAATCAAAACAACTTAAAGAGGATAAATTTGTACTGTTTATCAGTTTCATAACACAAATGGTAACTTATTATGCAGGGACTCACCTCAGCCTTCACTATTCTATCCACAATGGTCTCCAGTGTTTCCAGCATACTACACTTTACAACACCTTCAAAATACTGAGAGCGGTGCTGTAGGGCTTGTGTCACCGTGATATCTAAGTTATTATACGTTTTTTCAGCAGCAAGATTCTGCAAAAAAACAAACCCAGGCCACATCAGACAGCTCAGTACTTAGTAACAAAGCACTCAATAAAGTAAATATTTTGGCATCAAGTAGATAGGCATTTCTGGTCTGAGTCCATTCCAAGTAACATATTAAACAAAGCAGATGCTCTTCAGCTTCAGATTCTGGGAACTGTCAAGCACAATGATGCTAAACACCATCTGACACCCTGGGTTAATGGATAATACTGGTGATATGCATTAGGCCAGTGAAAACCTTACTTTGTATCTCACCTCTGGCTTAGTGTCACTCATCCTGCTTTTGCCACCAGCAGTAAATGTAAAGGTGAAGCTCTTCAAATTGCACACCACACAGAATATACAAATTTTTTTGTTTGTTTTTCGTAGGACTGGAGAAGACACCAACTGTTCTGAACACCACCCACAGAGTAGATGTTAGTGGCTGAGAGCTAAGTGCAGAGCAAATTCATTCTTCACCTTTCTAATTTGTGGGCTCAAACTCCCTCTCCTGGACTCAGCTGGTGCTGTCATTCGATGACAACTTGTGTGTCCGGGTGTACTTTAGTAAGAACTATAAGAATAATAACAATGAAATCCCATCCCCACCACTAAAAGGATGAGATTAAAAGAATTTGAAAGCTGACATTTTAAACTTTCATTCTAAGAACAGGATCATGCCTGCAGTGAGAGCACTCTGTCCAGACCTGCAAAAGCTTTCTGTAGGTGAGACCATGGTGGTATTTTAGTAGTGTTGGCACACCCTGGCCTACTGATTCTGCTGCTGAGGCACTGAAGGAAGAACAAAGACAGAGCTTTTAAATGAAAGCACTGGACCAAGAAATAAAATTAAATTAGTTTTTGGCTAGAAGATAGTCGGGTCAAGTTTTTTGACTGAATTACACCAAACATGACAAGACAGGTTTAAGATGATCATGAAGATAAAAACAATTTCAGTTAATTAATTTACACAGGTCCTAATGAAGGACATTGAGAGGACATAGAAAGCCTCTGCAAACTGAAGTCACCCTACACACAATAACTGGTGCAATATAAAGCCATTATTATATATCACTCCATTCCCAGGTTTCCCCAATTAAGAACCTGAAAATTAATTCAGAACTCTTAAAATGAAATAAATCTATTAACTTAGCCAGCTGCACACACAGCCATAGCTTCAACCACCAAGCAAGGATAAGAGCCACATGGTTAAAAGTTAAAAATCACCATCTTGGATTCCTGTTTATTGGAAGATTAGATCACACACTTCAGATTACATTTATTTTCCTTCTTTTAAAGCTGAAGTTCAGGTTGAAGCAGCCTGATGAAATCTGGAAGCTCAGAGGTGATTATCTTTTAAGAAGAGAATATTTTCCCCCAACTTAATAAGCAAACTAAGACATGTGAGGAAAATCTCAAGTAATCAATAGATGCCCTAACTCTTTACCATGTTACTAGCTGGATGCAAACAATTATATCCTAAAATTTATATCTTTGTGGTGTGGGGTTTTTATTCAGTTCCCAATATATATTTTTTTCCAGACAGATGATCCAACATCTTTAAAAATCCTATTTGTTGCCTCATCACTTAAAATGAGAAAAGAAGTGGAAAACATAAGAAGCTCTGCCTTTTGGTGTCCTTCTGAAGAAGAATGGGAAATGAAAGAAACAAGCCCTGCCTCAAAATCTAACACAGTTACAAAATAAACTGAAACACTGAAGCCACCAACAGTGAAATGTCATTGTCTTTGATACATCAGGTCATTCTCTCTACAGCTACTGCCTATTCCCTGCTTTTATGGCAGAACAGGATCTTACACAGTAGAGAATCCCAAATAATGAAGACAAATGCCTAGAAATGACAGGTAAGAGCAATGACATCACAGAATCTTCAGTATTAAGAACAATGTTTGCAGCCAGAGATATTTATAAGGTTAAAGTATTTCCACTTGGGACTATTCTCCATTTTACTTAAGACCTTCCAGGCAGTGCTTCAGACATCTGGATTCTTCATTAGAGCAGCTGGTTGGTGGCAACCTGGGCAGTGAAATCTCTAGAAAGTAATGTAGTTGGCAGATGCTGCAATTAGAAAGCAGGTGCACACAGCTGGGAGGGGACAGGAATTAAAAAAAAATACATATATAGATATATTTCAAGTTTCTGAAAGCCATGAGAATAAAAGAGGCCTGCCTTGCTCTCAGAGGCTGGTAAATCATGGCATGAATCTGAGAATGCTACTGGAATCTTGAGGGAAATCCAGAAACAGTGTCCTAGATTAGATCTAAAGCAGAAGGAATAGATGCAAGACTCTGGAGTCAGAGACACAAAAGAATGGGCCAAGTAGTTTTTACATCACTGTACAAAGCTGTACAAAGTACTTAGACTGCATGAGAAATCTGCATTCTCTTTCAGAACAGGCTGGAGTGGCTGTCCTTAAAAAAAGGAGAGGAAAAAGGAAGTCCTCACTCAAAAATAGAAACCAACAAGAACAGAACAGTTTAGCTGTGAGTGACACACAGTGATCACCTGGTCCAAGTGCCTGGCACTCCAGGGAGGAGCAAAAGCTGAGGCATTTCATTAAGGGCACAGCCCTTGAGCACTGCCTGGCTTGGGGCATCCACCACCTCCTCTCTGGGAAGCCTGTTCAGTGTTCAGCCACCTCCTGGCAAAGAAAGGCTTCCCAAAGCCCCCTCTGAACCCCTGCAGTGTGGCTTTGGACCATTCCCACGTGTCCTGTCCCAGGATCCCAGGGAGAAGAGCTCAGCACATTCTCCATTTCCCCTCCTCAGGAAGCCTTAAGAGCAATGAGCTCACCACGCCTCAGCCTCCTTCTCTCCACACCAGACAAACCCAGAGCCCTTAGATATTCCTCACAGGAAACTCCTTCCAGCCTTTTCACCAGCTTTGATCCCCTCCTCTGGATTATGCCCAGCCAGATCTTGTTTTGAGCAACATCCAGAGGAGTAAAAGCCTGTGTGCAAATAGTACTACTAAGGATAACTTTATTTTTTATTTATGGCTACTTTTATTAAAGAGATGTGCAAGGTGAATTGGATCTCTTTGTTTACTACAGCCAAAGGAACAAAATAAAACTGTCATATTAACAAATTAATTTGCAAATGCTTACCACACATAAAATATTTAATAGAATTTAAGAAATATACTTACTATTACATCAAATTTGGAATAAATATCTACAACTTTTCCTAAAAGCGAAAGAAAAACAGAAGTTAACAAAGTGCTTAAAATACAGTATCAATTTTCTTGCTTCCTGCTTTCATCTGTTACAATTACACAGAAAGAAATGACAGGTCAAGAAGGAAAGACTGAAAAAAAAACCAAAACGCAAACAACTTATCAAATAATGAAATTCTTCCAAACCCATCAACCTACATTTTACATAAGTATTTATTTATATTCCCTTTTTCCCCCCATGCCTTTTCAGTGATTTTTTTTTTCTACTCTTTCTTGTGTCTTCCCTTTTGCCCCAGCATCAGTCCAGGGCTCAGCAGCATTTCTCTTCCCACACTTTTGTGCCCACCTGACTCATCCACAACAGGTAATGCCGATATCCTTCGCTCTACAAATATATTCAAGGCTTTAATGATAGGAGTGTCTGGATGTATGAAGGCAATGTTGTGATAAGTTCCTATTCCAAGTTCATCCAGATTCTTCTTCATAAAGGCAGGCTTTGGCATCTCTGACATCTAGGAGAGTCAGAAGGAAAAGAATTTACACTGGAATTCACTCATCCATCTGCAGACTCCAAGTGATGGTTACAGGTCACTGCAGCTTCCTGATACCAGATTACTACAAAACTCAAACAAACTAAGGGGTTTCTGTTCAAAGCAGCTCTAAATTAAGACAATGTAACTATGGATTTTTGTTCTTTTCTCTGTAGTAACACATCACTAAAAGCTGTAGATCCTAAGATATATCATTCCCACTAAAACTGGAGGGAGAAGATAGATTACCAGAGTAATTTGAATATTTATTCTGAACTCTCGTTGCATTGTTTGGCCTCCTGTTCATTTCTGTACTAACATTACTACAGAGAGTAATGCCAATCTCATCTCTGGAAGACAATTCATTTTTCTTTTCATGTAAGCAAACTCCTGAAGCTGAGGAGATGCTCCAGAAACACCAGCAAATTACTCCAATACACAAGTCCTTGGTGTTTAGGTTTCCTTAAAGGAGTAAAACAAAGCAGAGGTAAAATATAGGCCTTATATCAAGCTTTAATTTCCCAATTAAAAGATATACAAATAAAAGAAATAATGAATATGGAAGTTCATTACGACATTTCTGCACTAAGACTTTAATTACTTAATTATATTGCATGTATCTGTGGGGAAAAATCAGTTAAGCACAGCATAGCTTTAAATACTTACAAAAAGCTGGAGGAACTTGAGGATTCTTTTATGGGTAAGTATATAAAGTGCATTTCCACTGACTGGATCTATAACTGGCAATCTGTGGATTTTGTTTTTGATCAACGAATATACAGCATCAAAAAGGCTGAGGAGAAAAACATGTTATTTTTTAATGAATTCTAGCTAACAACAAATAATGCCAAGTGATATATATGCACACATTTATAAACCCACATGAAGTATATGTGGTAATTATTTGCATTATCTTTAATGCTATAAAAACAGAAGTTGAGGGATTTCAAATTAACTTTTGCAGCTTTTTTACTTTGCAACACATCAATAGCTATATGCTCATGGAAATCTAAATCCATTAAGAAAATGTGATGGGAAGTTCATTTTGTGGTACAAAGTATAGAAAAAATACCTCTTCACAAGTGTAAACTGTTTTTCCAGCAAGTGCTGTGCTGCATCCCTGCACTCAGAATGGGTCTTTCTCTTAAGAGACAAACTGTGAAAAATGGAGTTCTTGCACTTAATGAATCTCAATCCCAAACTTCTGTAACATTTTCTACAAAGGACATTTTTATGGCTATGTGCACATATGCAAATAACCCCAAACAATTATCTAATAATTTCACTGAATTATCACTGGGGATTGGCAAAAAAATCCTTAGGAGATCTAAAACATTCCCATGCACTGCAGACTAGGATTTAGCAACACTCCAACCTGTGCAAGTCTGCTCTTCTTGCAAGTGACACTTTATTTTTCCCTTGGTGTAGTAAAGCAGCTGACCAGCAACTGCAATAAATTAGCAAGTAATGAAGTTGGTAAAACTCTGATAAACACCTACTTGCCGAAGCAGGCTTCTTCCCAAACACAAGCTGTGTGTTCTGAGTCCACTACACGGATGAAATAGCCCCATTTAATGTACATAGAGCCAAGATTCCCCACTGCTGCAGATTCCACTGCTGGAGTAAGCATTTAACAATTCCTAAGTGCTGCAGTCTGTCACAGAAGCCAAGCCCAGCTCTGGATCAGCTCTGAAGCTGACTTGCTGTAACCTTTTATAAAAATTTTACTGCATCTCCTTTATGGCAAGGCTTCTCGTGCTGCACCTCTGACTGACAACAATAAAGGCTATTTTGTTGTCTTAGCAATATTATTTGCAACCTGCCATTATTCAAAATACATCCCTCATGAGTGAATTGAATGATTTATTCATGACTAAATGGCAATTCCACTGAGGCTACAGAATATAATTTCTTCAGTGTAATCACTGGAGTTCCCTTCACCAGCTTCCTTTGCCAGGGCACAAACAAACTCATTCCACAAACTGAAAGCAAGAACCAGAACTTCACCCTCCAGTTCAGCAATCAAGTAATGCTCAAGATTTAAGTGATCAACTAAGTCTCCCTCTCAAGTCATTTAGTAAATAAGGCATAATGATAATTTAAAAACTGTTTCTTTCAACTCCCATCAAGAAGAAAAGGACAGTCATTTATATTTTAAAGAACAGAGCCTTACAGAAGAGCAGAACAAACCACAGAGATATTGTCTTTCCTTTAATTAAGGGAAGTTACTTGCCTTGAAAAGGACTCTAAGTTTCTAATTACTGTGACTGCTGAGAACAAGACAGCTGAAGGGCTCTAAATTTTTGGATTTTCATGAAATAAAGATGACTTGCAGGCTAGCTTGAAAGGGTCATCGTATTGCCTGTTCTGCATTTTATTTTTGGCCCATGTCTAGCTCATTTACCAGAACAGTTATGCTAATGAACGACAAAAGTTCAACTAAAAATTCCCTTCTTTGGATAATCAAAAGTCTTCACTCACAATAAAAACAAAGCTCTCACCCCTTCTTGATTGTATAAAAGACAGTCCTTCTTTATTGTACTGTAGTTTACAATACAAATAGTTTCTTCTTACATAAAGAGGCTTTAAATTCAGAGTTGAGATGTCGTTAGTGTATTTCAAGTTAAGCAGAGTGAACAGTGAAATCCTACCTTGCATCTGGGGAGATGTTCACTAAAGGTTTAAAAGTCTCTTGTAAATAAAGCTCTGTGGTTAGAAAATTAATAGACTGTTACCACTTCACACAAAAACATCAGCTCTTTTATGAAAGCATTTCATGAATTCATTCATACAAAATTAAGTGGCAGACAGCAATTTACAGTTAGTTATTCTACCATTTATGCACAGTGCTCTATACTGACATTAAAAAAGACATCAAATTTAAAAGCAGGACTAAGCTTGATACCAGCAGAGGTCACTGCAATTACAACAAATAATCCTTTACTCGTTCTGTGAGTGTCTGCTGCACACAGATACCTCCATGTATCATTCCATGGATTACACACTACTTTTTACATGGAGCTGCCTCCCTGCATTCAGCATCTCTGTTTACACCCAGGATGTTGCATAAATTTCTGGCTGAATGGTGCAGCTCACTTGGGCACAGCTCTGTTCATTCCCACTCCACTTATGCCTCACTCTACTCACTTTTTTCTTTTCTTAAAGAGCCATGAACAAAGGGCAAAGCGTTATATAGCCCAGATTACCAGTCCATAGCTATTTCAGACAGAAAAAAAGGAATAGGAGCCAAAGAGAAGCTTTTACTACTTCTGCTTTCATTAAAAAATATGTGGAGAGAATTCTATGATGATTCAAAATCCACTATACTGAAAAATATCAGAATCTAGTAAATTATCAACTAAATAGTAAATATTCTTACCCCTCCAGGTTTCTATCTTGTGCTCCTCCAATTCATAAATCTGAACCTACAATGAGCAAATGGAAGTTCAACTTGAAGGAATTTAATTTTAAATCCATCATTAACATTGTAAACATCTGAATAATTTTATTTCATTGCTGAAAATCTAACAAAGTAAGAACAGTCCAACACAACATTTCTTATAACAAGGAGAAAGGGTGCAATCCTGCCCCTAATGCAGAGTACAATCCTGGATTTATCATTTCAGGGGACAGGAAAGCCTTTTACTGGCCCAGATTTGCAGTCCAGGTCTTTCCTGGTCTCAAAGGCATCAGAAATTTGTATCACCTTCAAACAAACATCCAGGGTAAAGCCTTGGGTGGTTCCTCACACACCCCCACCAGTAAAAAGCTTACCCTGATCACCTGACTTCTTAATGCTAACAGAATAAAGTTACCTGATCACTAACATGACAAGACTTCCTTAGGGAGAGACTACCTGGATGTTCCTCATCACTCAATGGTGAACATTATCTAGCACATGAGTGGCAATGTGCTTCATACTCTATGTCCTGATGCAATCAGAAAGAATGACTAAAATACTTTAACAATGGTATTTTCTGCATCATTTCACCTATTAAAACTAGAGCATTCCCTGATAGAACATTCATTTATTTTTCTTATAGAAGACTGCATCAGTCTCTTAAATCAGATATTGTTCCTCCTCAGCTATTCCTCCCTCCTTACTGCTGCCAGTTTAAGCAGGACCTTAGACAATGTAAATGAGTGAGAACTCATTAGGTAAAGTCCCATGGAAAAAATCAGTAACATTGATGTCGACGTACACTACACCATGGAAACAATTTTTAAAAATAAGTTACCAGTGGGCAAACATTTTTCATTTGTTCCTTCCCCCA